AACATCAGCAGGAGAGGACTCTTTAAAGTAGAGACACTACATACTGATATACACCTGAACATCAGCAGGAGAGGACTCTTTAAAGTAGAGACACAATATGTCCTTTTTGGGACAGAGAGGTTCGAGCACATTTTTGAAGTAGTACAATCATGGGCGTGGACGTCGAGACGATATCTCCCGGTGATGGAAGAACATTTCCAAAGAAGGGCCAGACATGTGTTGTTCATTACATAGGTATGCTGCAGAATGGGAAGAAGTTTGACTAGGCTCAGATATTTCTCTGTTGAAGTCCCGCTTTAATTTCAAAGTGTTGTCCCTTCAAAAAGATCAAGGTGACCCTCCTAAAGTCTCTGAACATTTAAATTCTACCAGATGAACATCTCAGATTATGTTCACATCAAAGTCTTGTCTGGTCTCACCTGACACGGTGATGTTGGCTTGGACCCTGTGTCCGATCAGCTGCTGTGTGGCGACGCAGTGGAAGCGGTTGTTTGAGGTGTTGCTCACAGTGGTTTGGATGCTAACGTCATAGCGGCCTCCTCTCTCTGAGACCTGAGGATCCTCAGCATGAAGGATGCTTCCTTCACTGTCCTGCCACTCTACTTTAGGTTCTGGAGAGGCACCTCGAACGTCACATTTCAGCACCACGCCCAACTCCGTGACGTCAACTATCGAGGTGCAAGGCTCTGGAGCGGCACCTGTGAACACAGAATTGAAAATACACAACAAATAACATGAGTCAGTTACTTGTTCAGTCTTTAAAGGCCCAGATACACCGGCCCGAAAACGGCAGTAAATGGGAGTCGGGCCGAACATGAGCGTGGGCACGCCCTATTCGGAGTGGTGTGCGCCGCACCGTCGGGTCTTTTCTGCCGACCTGACGCCTTTTCTTGCCGATTCAACATTTTGAATCGGCGTCGTGAACACCACCGGAAGTCGGACAAAGGGATAACACTGATTGGCTGTTCAGCTAGCGAATCAGTGCATGAGAAGCGTTAACGGAAGTGAGGGAGGTAAACAAATGATTTAAAACGGAAGATGGAACACACAAGGACGGCTATTTCACCTCATCGGTTCATAGAGCTCCTGTTCGTTCATGTTTTCAATGGACGAGAGTGAAAATGGAAAGAAAAACGCTATTTGTTGTTTGTTTATATCACGGAGTCTGTTCTTCTTCTCTGTCTTCCGGTTGTTGCCTCTTTTGAATGATGAATACACACTACCGCCGCCTGCTGGTAAGGAGAGTTATTGCCACTTACGCATACGCAGTTCATACGTGCTCGGCTCGGATTTGCGGTGTCCCAGTGCGCGAAGTCGGCAAATACGCAGGAGATTCCGGCGACGCAACAGTCGGTGCCGGCGTTTTCTCAGGTGACTGGCCGGTGTATCTGGGCCTTAAGGATTGATATGGCTATTAGTCTAGTTGCCGGATGCTAACCTGGATAAGTCTGGCAATTTGCTAAATTTGTTTACAATGTGTTGATTAGCATTAATTAGCATTAATTAGCATTATAGCCTATGCAGACACTAGTGTGGCTTGGCTGATTTAAACTTTTCTGGAGTGCTTTCAGGGTTATTGAAGTTGCTAAATCCATTTCAGACATGTTCAGGTTGAGAAATGGTAGTTTTAACTTTAAAGTGGCCATATTTGTTCTCCTGGTGGACTGAAAGCCCTGATCACTCATCTCTGAATCTGTCGTGTGTGCTAAAAACGTGACGCTCTCTTTGAGGCCATCATTCAAAAAATCCTTGTCACACTTCCTGTCCTGGTCCTTTGTTTTGGGGATAAACAGCCCCCAATATAAATAACTTTATATTACTAAAGGTTATATCAGTATGACCAGTCAGTGACACTGGGATCAATTATAAATCTAAATAAAATGTAAATGCAGCGACAAAGGTTTAGCACACACACATATCAGAGACAGATCATCAGGACTCACCAGCAGTTTCCCCGTGTTTGTTCTCCAATTTCAAGCACGGGTCACAACCTGATGGGAAACAAACATAGCTTTTACTGTTTGACTGCTTGATGTAATCAGCGTGCTGAACACCTCATACAGGTAAAGAGGCTGAGAGTCACTATGGGATTAAGATTAAGATCAAATTGTATTAAACCCCAAAAGGGAACATTCTGAATAAAGCCACTGTGCCGTAAAACGTCTGTTCCCGTTCTACTAGAGACGAAGAAACACCCTGCGAGGAAATTAAACTCCACTTCACTTTTGGGAGTAGACTTAAGACTTTCCTCTTTGATAAAGTTATTATGCTGCTATCTGCTTTTTGATAAACGTATACAGGAGTAAAGGCTGTATAAAGGCTGTTTTAGGAGGGTAGGAGTGATGGCATTGTTGACCTGTGTTATTAAAGTACTCACCAACAACAACAAGCTCGATGTGGAATGTTTGATGAGGCTGCAGACGGGGGAAAACGCAGATGTAACTTCCACTGTCGATCACCTTCGTCTCTCTGATGACGATGGAGGCGTTTCCGTGCTTCAGTTCATTTTGGAAATGTGAGACTCGACCTTTGAACTGCTCACTCTGACCTGAATGACGATCATAATGAACAGCAGAATCGTACATGAAGACTTGGTGCTGAGTTCCTCCTCCCTGACCGACCTTCTTCCAGTCAAACAGTTTATCTTGGAGGTTTTCTCTGGTGCTGGGGGAGCAGGGTAACAGGGCGTCACTCTCTTCTGTAACAACCACTCTGACCACACCTGCAAGACAGAGCAGAAGTCAATATACTGCACACACACACAGATATATATATACATATACATATACCTATACCTGACACCACTGTCTTCCATGTAGTGGAGTAAAAGTACACAATTGACTACAATCATCAAACTGAGGGTCTTATTTCATTACGTTTTCATTTGATTTCATCAGATTCAAATTCAAGATTTATGATCACGTCATTTTTTTTTTTTATTCTGCTTGGGGGCTTTGCGCCCCCTAGCAGCGGCGCGCATATTTCAGCAGCGGCGCAGCGCCGCTGCTGAAAACATATAGGGGAAACACTGGAAGGAATTTGATATCTGGTGGTGCGAACAACAATCTAAAAAAATAAGTTGCACAGTAGGTAAAAAAATAAATAATACAAGGATAATAAAAAATAAGTATTTTAAAGAAATAATTTAACGTTACAAAAGGATAATAAAGATAAGTATTTACACCAAATGTAAATGTAACAATACAAATAACCTTAAAGCTAAAAAACAAAGATAGAAGATACATTTACTGCTCATGATGTGCTGTGCAGATTTCGCACCCAGGAAGATTTGGAAAGTCGCCAAGTTTGCAAAACTGCAGCACACCTTGGACTAGCTTCTTGATTCTGATTGTCCAGAGACCCGAGAATGAAACAATTTTCACTATTTCGCCTCAAAGCGACGAGTATGCAGGTTTACACATACGAGGATTTTGCTTCGATATAAATGGGACATACAAAGACAGAAGAATACGTTTTTCTAAAAGAAGGGGGCGACACATAGTATTATTATAAAGACCATTGTATCAAATAATACATTTCAAGATAATAATATAAATACATATTATTAATATTATTTAGTATTATTATTATTATTATTATTATACAAGCCAGAGTGAAAAACTGAATTTCCCCCTAGGGAGATTCATATAGGTTCATCTTCTTCTTCATCTTCTTCTTCATCTTCTTATTAATATAATCCTTACCGTCTGCATCTCCATGTGCAATCCAGTAAAAAGTCAGTAGGAGAAAGATGGAGGAAAATAGGATTTCCGGAGAAGTGATCTGAAGTCTAAGACCCATGTCTCAAAGTGTCTGTGCACAGTCACTTTACAATGAATGATCTGCGACAAAACAGTGACGACACTACGTTAGAAGAGTTACGACAGCGGAAGTCCAAAAACGGTTATCGTCACGTGGTTCATGCAGACGAGGATCGTTCCCCGGAAGTTCATGGCGGGCAATGTGAATGCATTGATAACAGGAGATAGAACTACGATTTTTGGTCATTATTAGTGAATAAAGGTTTTGATTTGCAATATTTATACAACAAATCGATATGTGTATGTATTTACATCAATATGTTTTAAAAAATAAAATAGAATTTGCTAATATTAAGTGATAATATTAGGATTAGTGTGAACAACTAGTTTACATGTTTCAGCGTTTATCTCACCTAATGAGACGGGTGGGCAATATGCATGGAGCACAGTAAATCCATCCTGGGCTTAATTTTAGAGACGGCCACTTGGAGATCATCCTCCACGTTTAGACGAGATCTGTATTTGTTTTTTATGTATGTCAGTGCCGAGAAAGTCTTTTCGCACAGGTATGTGGAGCCAAACGTTGTCAGAACGTCCAACGCGGCCTTGGAAAGCTGTGGGTATTCCCTCTCAACTGAAATTAACCAGTTAACCAGTCAGGGTCTGTCAGGTGGTCAGCGAGCTGGGACCCATGCTCCGTTTGAAATAAGCGCACCTCGTCCCTCAGTTCATACAGGCGGCTGAGAACATTTCCCCTTGAAAGCCACCTGACTTCTTTGTGGAACAGCAGGCCCTGATGCTCCGATCCCAGTTCGTTGCAGAGATACAGCCTGGTATTGAGTGGACGGGATTTTATGTAGTTGACCATTTTTATCGCCGTCTCAAGAACACTTTTAAGCTC